CACATACATGTATAAAATAAATATACATAAATGTAAATAAACCTAAATAAACAAATGAGATAATCAAATGTAAACAAATAAACTATGTATAAATAAATATAAATATATATAGGTACATACACACATATATAAATATATTATATATGTAGAGTGAGAGACAGAAGAAGAGAGAGAAGGGAGAGGAGAGAGAAAGAGAGGAGAGAGAAAGGGGGGAGAAAGGGATAAAAAAGAGGAGAGAGGAGAGAGAGAAATAGAGGAAAGAAAGAGAGGGACAGGAAGAGAGAAAGAAGAGGGGAGAGAGAGAGGAAAAGAGACAGAGAGAAAAAGAGGAGATGAGAGAGAGAGGACAGAGAGAGAAGAGAAAAACGAGAAAGATGAAAGGGATAAAAAAGAAGAGAGAGAGAGAGAGAGAGAGAGAGAGAGAGAGAGAGAGAGAGAGAGAGAATCTGTCATTTCATCTGCATAGGGAATTCCCAGTGAGGAAACCACTTCCCTAATGTAGATCAAAACCTGTTCTACAATTCCTACTCTTAGAAAGTTGTTTGGAGGCATTGAGATGTTAAGTGACTCTTCAGGGTCACACCGCTAGAATGTGTCAGAAGCAGAACTTAAACATAGCTCTTCCTGACTCCAAGGCCAAGTCTCTATCCATTATGCCATGCCGCCTCTTCTAATTACCCATGTCAATGTGAAACTTGCAACCGTTTTGGGAAATTACTTTCATAGAATTTCATTCCTAAAATTCCTGTTAATTTCATGATTTTTAATCCTTCTCTGCTTTTTCTGGCATATACAATGCCAATTTGTCTTGAATCCCAGTAGGCCTATCAGTTCTGAATTTGCATTTGTGTCACTGAATAAAATGAACATTCATTCCAATATAAAGAGTATTTTGCAGATTTGTATTCCCAAATTGATGTTATTAGTTAGAGACAAGGTGTAAAAAACTTAAAGGCCATCATCCACACTTGAAAAAATGATTCCTGAATATTTCTGTAGTGTTGCTTGTTTTTTTTGGAGGGCTGGGAACCAAGGGACCCAAACAAAGCTGCTTCTTCTCCTCTTTTCTTGTCCTTGGTGAATGAGCAACTTTAAAAATAATGTGTATATTTTTATAGGTTGTCCAAGGGATGAGGGTTCACATGAAAATGTCTATTCTAGTCTTTCTTTCTTTCTTTCTCCTGTTAACAACCTTTGACTTGTGTAGAAAGTGGTCACAGCCAGCTCTATGGGATTGGTGAGTTCCTGGGAGAAGCCCATTGTCCTGCTGCCCAAGTTTGGCTTTTTTACTGAGTATTGGATGTATCTCTTGCTTTTATTCCAGATTTTATAAATCACTTGCTATTTATTCTTGCTTTACCTGCCCACTTCCAACACTTTCCAAATAATCACACAACCAAGACTAGTCAGTCAACATACATTTATTAAGCATATACCATGTGCCAGGCACTGTGCTAAGAGCTGAATATATAAAAAGAAAGGTTAATATACCATCCCCACCCTTAAAGAGTTCATATCCACATGAGGTAGAGCACACTAAATTAGTCTGGTGGATGGGGGGGGGGATGAATCAGAATAGAAAGAGGGATGCAAACACAATACTCAATGGAGAGAGGAATTGATCAGCATGGACCATTGAAATATGGAAGCTAGTGATTTTCCTTCTGCAGGAAACGGGAAAGCCCTTTCTGCTTAGGTGGAGGAGGGGCAGGGCAGTTAATCAATGCCTTCCCTATTGGCTAAGAATGGTAGGAAAGGGAGAAAATCTCTAAGGGGGAATGTCTCACCCAACCCAGATTCAACCTCCACCACAATAGTCACATCTTCCCATGCCAGCACCTCCATAATCAGTGGTTCTCATAGATTTTCTGGATATATACGGATGCTACCTCACATTTCTTTCAAGAGGGACAGTGAATCTCTCTTCTTAAACTCCATACCTCATTCTCATCTTATACCTTTTTCCCCAGAACTCTCTGTGAAGCAATCCCAGTTACCTATATACAGCCTCTTTAAGTTTCTCTCCAAAGCATGTAGGGATGAGCAGTCTCAGAATTATTGCACTGTAAAACAGGGTTACATTTTCATTTATAATAGTGGTTAAACTATGGATCCAAGCATCCATAGAAGTAGTGAGGGCCCAGGCCTAACCCTATGCATGCTTCATAGGATGGTCACTATTACACATGGTATCAAAGAGTTTAATATTAAAACCAACATCAGGAATGGAGATGGGTAGAAAGTAAGTTGCACCTTAATAAACTCATCCATGGAACTTAGCCCTTCATGGGACTAGATTCTCTTCATGGGTTATGACAGCAAGTTACTCAGTTTACTGAACAAAATGAACCTTCATCATAACATAAAGAGTATTGTGCAGATTCGTGTTCCCAGGTTGGTGTTTCTAGTTGAGTTATGGAAACCTATGTGCCACCATCCATATTTGAAAAAATGATTCCTAAATATTTCTGTAATGTTGCTTGCTTTTGTTAAAGGGATAGGGAATAGAGGAACCCAAATACAGTTTTCTCTTCTCTTCTTTTCTTGTCTTTGGCAAATAAGCTACCTAAAATGAAGGTTCAGGTGAAAATTGCCATTCTAGTTTTTGTTTATTTCTTCTGCTTACAACCTTTGACTAATGTAGAAAGTGGTCAAGGCCAGCTCTGTGGGGTTGGCAAGTTCTTGAGCGATGCCCATTATTCTACTGCTGGGACCCTGCCCAAATTTGGCTACAGTCCTTTGTAGTGATAATCATGCCACATTTATAGGAGTTCCACATAATTACTTTTCATCTTAAAATATTAATGTCATTATGATATGAAGCACATCGAATTTAAAGGTTGAAGGGCCCTTCTAGAGAATCCTATCCAGCCCCTTCATTTTACAGATGAGGAACCTAAAGCCCAGAGAGGTGAAATTTCACAAGGTCACACAAAGAGCTGCAGAGCTGGGACTTAAGGCCAAGTCCTTTGTATCCAGAGCCAGTATTTTTCTATTATGCCAACAGCAACCTTTCAACCAATAATCAATCCTTCATTCAATGTTCCTGAGGCAGAATCTCCCCTCTTTTAAAAAATTGAGTGTTCTTGGGTTGAGTGTCTTTTCTTCAAAGAACTCAAAGTAAAAGGGTGAACAAATTACTTTTATGCTCCAATTCCTTAGAGTTTATTTCATCACTTTAGCAAATGCATGGTTTTGTGGGTGTGGGCACTTTTGCCAATGATCACAACCCCTCTACAATGAGTTTCCATGGCTCAAAAGGTTCAATAACAAATAGTCAGGCTTCTTGTGATAAGATCCCACAGCACAGGTAGGCTGGTGCTTAAAGGATAGACAAACAGTCCATTGAGAGACTGCATGAAGAGACTTTCCAGGTGATTGGTAGGACCTGGCAATATTTATTTGCATTTCATTGGCATAACAGTCAAGAACTACAGTTCATTCATTCAAAAAGAATCTATTAAGCACCTGCTATGTGCTAGGTACTGGGGTTACAAAGAGAAAACAAATAGTCTCTGCTATTAAGAAACTTAAATTATACTTGGAAACAATATGTATACAGAAAAATAAATGCAAAATATATGCAAAATAATTGGGAGGTGTTGGAAAAACCAAAGGGACCAGGAAAAGCCTGATGTGGCACCTGAGCTGAGTCTTGAAATTAGCTAGATTTTAACAGGTGGAGTTGAAGAGAGAATGTTTTCCATGCATTGAACTGGGAGATGGAATATCATGTATGGGGAACAGCAGATAGGCCTGTCTGGATGGAATGTAAAATGCACAAGGGAAAGTAATATGAAAGCAATCTGAAAAGAGCAGTTGGAGCTAAATTATGATAGGCTTTAAACATGAGATACAAGACTTTGAACTTTATCCCAGAGTCAATAGGGAACAAGTGAAACTTTTTGAAATGGGAAGTGATACAGTCAGGTCTATGCTTTAGGCGTATCAGTTTGGCAGCTGTTGTAGGGAATGAATTGGAGAGAAAAGAGGCTAGAGGCAGGAAGATCAAATAGGAGGCTGCTGTAATAGTCTAGGCAAGAGGTGATGAAGACCTGAACTAGGATGGCATCTGTGTGAGCAGAGACAAGGGAATAGATGGAAGAGATGTAATGGAGCTAGAATTGACAACTAATTGGATATGAGGTGGGAGGGGGTAAGAGAGAGTGGTGTCAAGGATGATACCTAGGTTACAAAATGGAGGGTTTGGAAGGAATGTGGTGCCCTCAATAGAAACAGGAAAGTTAGGAAGATTAGTGGGGTGGAATTGGGATGGGACGGGAGGGGAGAGGGGAAAGGGGAGAATGATAATACTTTCTGTTTTGGATATATTGAATTTGAGATGTTTACCAACATCCAGGATCACCTTCATGATACAATGAGGCATTGGACATTAGTGAAGAAAAAAACACCTTGTAATTATATTTCTCTAACTTTGATTCCTCGTATTCTTTGGCTTTCAAATGTCAGAAACCACTGCTAAAATTTAGAGAGCTGGGTTTGCCACAAAGTGATTAATTTTGGGCCATAGCAACTTTTCAAGGCCAATAACTAAGTCCTACACGGTATTGAGATTTGCAGTGGTGGAGGAAGTATTACCATAGATGGAATTAGTGATCCTGGAAATGTTGAAGTAAAGAAAGAAAAAGAAGAGAGAAACATGAAGGCTTAAAGGGTTAAAAAAAAAAGGTGAGGTATCTGGGGATGTGAGGCAACACAATATAAAAGAGGTGAGACATTTTCTTACAGTAGTGAAGTTTTCTGCACTGGGACTCCATGATCCCAACACTACTATTAACAGCCAATAATGGCAAAGCTGCTCTATTTTAAGTGGACTCCGTGGAATCCTTATTGATCCTCCCTGAAGGGATTCTATTTAAGAGTACTGTATATCTCTCTCAGATAAAAAGCAAGCACTTCTCTCATTTATGGTACCATTAACATTGTAACATGTAGGTGTGAGCTTTTTCTTTCACTTTCTATCACTGTTAGTAATAATGTTTTCCCAACATATATCACTTCTCTTTGATATGCTAGTTGAGTCATAAATTAATGTCACAAATAAATGTGATCTAGACAGAGTAACTCAATTGAGAAGCAGGGAGTGGTAGCTTGATATTGTTACATTTGACAGCTGTGCAATCTTGAATTTTTAAAAGTCAAAGTGTGAAAGAAAACCTGAGAGACATTAGCCAGTCACAAGGAGCTAAATATTGTGGTCATTTATGCTTTCAGCAAAAACTTTCTTTAATCTTTACAGAAGGTATCCTGAAACAGAAACGAACAGGTGGGTTGAATAACAAAGAGAGCTGAGGAGTTTAAAGACTTTCTTGGCATCAAACAGTGAAGCTGCTCTACACTGTTGGTGTTTTATAGAAAACATATATAAATACATTTAGGCTGTCTGGCAGCCGTCTTATTTATTGGGTTTTACCTTTGAGAACAAAATAAATGTGAGGGATTCATGTACAGTACTCAACATTCCCTGTCAGGTAGTATTTAATCTCCTTAGGCTAGGACTACGAATAGAAATCTTTATTTTACATGATGCCATAATATTGTACATTAGGGCCAAAACCACTTGATCTGAAAATAGTAGTATCAGGGCAGGGATTTAGGATATTATATGACAACAGCTGGCCAGAGGAGTATCTCTCTTGCCACTGACTGGAAAAGTTACCTCAGACTTCAAATCCAATTAATTAACAGACCTAAGGCCAGGCAGCAGCCAATAGAATTGGCCTTATGGGTAGTTTGTGAGGATGTGTTTCTCGTGGTAGAGGATAAATAAGATGTTGCCTTATTGTTCAGCTATATGTTACAGTGGATCTACATCTTAGTGATTGTGCTACCACATGTTTAGAAACCCGAAGGAAAGCAAAGCAGCATAATGTTACAGATTATATGTCTGTCACACATCTAACAATAAGAAGCCATGCTGGTCCAGAGAGGCTGAGGCAATCTTCTACTCCTTCTCCACTGGGAGGACCTTATCAATGGATCCCCTGCCCTCACACAGCTGGAGGAGGTTCAGTACTGTGAGGGGAATCCTGACCACTACTGAGAGGGAATACATTTTCTCACACTCTTCAGCTTTCCATACCCCCCACCCCAGCATCATCCAGATAATTTATTTAAAACTTAGTTTTTGACTCTGTCTTGACAGAAAGGGGGTGGGTGGTGGTAAGTAGAAAGGTACTCTGTGTACAATATGAATCAAATATGGAACAGTTATATATTTCTTATACACAAAAGTAATGCTAAACGCAAGTGCGCACTGGACAGAAACAAATTTAGAAGAGTGGCATTAACAACTTCTGGCATTCTCTCTCCTGTGGCTGATATTTGAACCTCATCTAAACCTAAGGCATTTTGTGGGACACCTGAATAGGCATTTTACATTTCACCTTCACTCTTCACTGTCCCTCCCCACCCTGGTAAAAGTCTTCTGGACTTGGGCTCATCTTGGTGCTCGTCTACTCACAGAGTTCTGGAGTAGTTGCCCAAGACTCTTGCCCTTGCCAGGAGTCAGCTCTGAACGAAGGAGGACTAATGAACCTATCAGTCTCACGAGGTGATCTCTAAGCCTGGACACATACATCTCAGGATCAATTATTCTTTCACTGAAGAGCAGGAAAGAATGAACACTGAAGGAGCAGCCCCAAGTCCGGGATCAGAAATATAGGTAGAACATGGGCTTTAGCTGCCGTGTGCTTACTGCCAAAAGGCAACCAGGATGTGGATGGGATAAACTGCTTTTCCTCCTAAGCCTCAGGGGAAGCCTCGGGTAACAGTACCGACACAATCTGCTACTTGAAAAGAGAAGAGAGACAGGAATAGTAATTTCCTTTTTAAAGGTCCACTGAGTCATGGTTTTTCCTGATCAGCAGCCAATGAGAGGATTTCTTTCTCATCTCAAAGCAGAATAATCTTTCAGCCCCGAATTTGGCACACAAGGCCAGCTAGAATCAGCCAGGAGTTCTGCCAATCCCCAAGGGCCCAAGCTTTGAGCTACTATATAGGGTCAGCTGGAAGCGGGAAGGCGTTGCATTTTGCGTGCTTAACCCCCATCCACATGTAGAACAGTGCAGAGTTTTGTTTTGTTTTGTTTTCTTCTTCTTTCCCTGACAAGGTTTGACCTATAGCATACCAATGGTTTGTGTGTAGTTTGGGTGGAAAAGCTCTTCCGAGTTCCAGTCAGGAGTGGGGCGGGGGGAGGAAGAGGAAGAACAATTGTGGAATAATCTGTAACATGCATATGCTCTGAACCAACACCTTTAGTGCATGTTTAACAAGCCTCTAGCAATTCTCTCAAAAGCAGCTTCCTTCGCGTTATAAAATGACAAGCGGGTGGAAGACTTGTCTCGATTTAACTCCATTCTACAGGCGAGGAAACTGAGGTATGGAAGGGAGCTTCCTAGCTCAGTGTCCGTGGATCTGGGTCGCCTGCGCCCACCCGCATCCGCTCTGTCAAGAAGGGTGGGGAGGATGCTGACATCCTCTGGGAATCCTCAGGAGGGGGGGAGTAGAGGCGGGGGTGGCGGAGGGACAGGAGCGTGCTGGGTCCTGAAGACTCTGCGGACCCGGCAGGAGGGACCCGGAGATTCTTAATTAAAGCAGGTTGCCATGGCTACGGTCTCCAAGGCGGCGTGGGCCCAGCTCTCCGGGGGCTGGAGGGAGGGCCGCTGCTTGATGGGGATGGTCTTGGTCGTAGCCGGGGGCGCGCGTTCTGAACCAACTTTCTCTCCCGGGAGCGGAGGAAAGAGAAGGGGGAGGAGAGGAGCGGAGGGGAGAGGGAGGGAAGGGGGACGCGCTCTGCCTCTGCCCCCGCCCCCGGGTCGCGCACGTCCGTACTCGGCGGCGCGCACGCCTGCGGGAGCCCTCTCCAGGCAACCCTAGTGCTGATCGCTCGTGCCGGTGCGGTCTCTCACCGCCCTTGGGGGAACCGAGAAGAGGCTCGAGGGCAGTCCCCCCGCCCCTCCCTGGGCTCTCCCGCCCTCCCCGCTCCTGCCCGGCGCGCGCCGGGGCATGAGCAGCGATGATGGCCGGCTGCAGTCCCGAGGAGAAAACTTACCGGCGCTTCCTCGAGCTCTTCCTGGGCGAGTTCCGCGGACCGTGCGGCGGTGGCGAGCCCGAACCGGAGCCCGAGCCGGAGTCCGAGCCCGAGCCCGAGCCCGAGCCTGAGCCGGCGGCGGCGGCCGAGGGGACTCGGGAGGAGGTGGAGGACGAGGCGGTGGCGACGGCTGCGGTGCGGGTGCCAGAGCCCGGGGAGGAAGAGGAGGAGGAGGACGAGGCGGTAGCCGCCGAGGACGAGGACGGGGACGGGGAGGGCACGGAGGAGGGGGTGGCCGACGAGGCCAGCCCGGGCCCGGGGCAGCAGACCGGGCCCCCTCCCCCGCCGCAGCAGCAGCCGCCGCCGCCGCCGCCCCTGCCCCCGCTGCCGCGGCCGCTCTCGGAGCGCATCACCCCCGGAGGAGGTGGAGGGCGAGAGCCTGGACCTGTGCCTGCAGCAGCTCTACAAATAGTTAAGTAGCCGGGACGGCCTCTGGGTTGGAGGTGGGGGAGGGATAGGGAAGGATAGGGAGGGAGAAGAGAAGGCGGGAGGGGGGGAGAGAGAAGCACTGCCCCGGTTCCCCGCCCCAGCCGCTAACTCCCGCACTAGCACCCGCCCACCCTGCCGCAGCCCTCGCGCCCCCCGCTGGGGCCCAGCCTCCGTTTTCCTCCCCAACCCATTCTCGTGACCTCAGCTGCCCCTTCTTGCACGGTCCATCCCGCAGCCCTTTTACTTTCTCTCATCGCTTTCTCTCTGCTCCCTTGTTCCTCCTTCCTTGGCCGGCTCTCCAAGGCTCCATCACACACTCGCCCCCTGCTCCGGGGTGTTTCCTTCCTCTTCGTCCAGCCCTCCAAAGTCTTCATCCCAGGCTCGCCCCCTGCTCTAGGCTACCTCCTTCCTCCTTGCCCGATCTCCAAGTCTCCAGCCTACTGCTCTCAGCTCTAAGATACCTCCTTCCTCCTTGGCCAGCCCTATATTATGCTTCCCTCTGGCTTCTGGGTACCTCTTTCCTCCCTTGTTGGCTGCCCTATCTCCATTCTGTGCTTACCCCCCATTCCTGGGTACCTCCATCCTCTCTAGCCTGCTCTCCAAGTCTCCATTCTATCCTCTCAGCTCCAAGGTACCTCCTTCCTCCCTGGCCAGCTGTTCTCATCTCCATCCTAGGCATGCCCCTGTTCCTGGGTACCTATTTCCTCCCTGGCCTGCTCTCTAAGTCTCCATCCTATCCTTGCCCCCCTCTCTCAGGCATCTCTTCCCATGTTCCCAGTTCTCTTTCCCTCATCGCCCACTTTCTCTGTCTTCATTCTATGCTTGCCCTTGCAGCCCGAGTTCCTCCCTCCTTCCTGGTCCGCTCTTCCAAGTCTCCTGGGTTCTCTTCTCACTCCACCCCCATCTATACAGCCATGGGAGAGTGGTGACTGTTCTCTCCTTCGAGGGGCTGGGAGATGCCTCCTGTGTAATGGCAACGGTAACAAAGATGAGAATGGCTTCTAAAGAGCACAGGAATGCCTGGAGACTGGATTTCCTCTCGAGGTGGTGCTGGTTAGTGCGTAAAAAAATGAGAAAGCCTTTTAGAAGACTTCATGCAGTGGTGGAATCTCAATCAAATTGGGCAACTTCACAGCTTTTTATTTTGGTCAGGCTTGGTGATTTCAGTATCCTGGGTGAGGAAATCCTCTCCATCAGCAACTGCTTTGCCATTAGAGTTATGTAGAGTACTAAGACACTATAGCCCAGGTCACACAACCAATATGTGTAAAAGACAAACTTGAACCCAGGTTTTCCTGACACCAAGCTGTCCCTCTAACTTCAGTTACTAATAGTTTAAATTAAAATGTGATGAGAGGGAAGTTGTTTAAAAGAGAAAGAAAGAAAAGGAAGTCAGTTCCAAATTGAAAGACAAGGTTAGGGGATGATTTTGGGGGTGGTAGTGGGGGATAGTTTTGTAACTGATTAAAACAGAAAATCAGGTTAGTCAAATTGAAGACATCCTGGCACACTCTAGCACTTTTCATTGGAATTAGGGGGTGAGGAGTGGAGAAAGTACTAAGGTTTAGTACTCTGCACTAAAATTCAGAAATCTAAAGATCAGTTTCCAAGACTGTCTGGCATTCCACTTTAGAGTTCTCTTGTTATGGCTCCATATAGAAATGTGTTACAATGGAATTTCTTTTAAAATGGATGTTTTTAATTGATGCCACAGGAGGAGACAAATGAACTTGTGAAAACATTTGTAAACCTAGGAGCTTTTGCTATTTAGTCGATAATTATAATGCAAGGTGTTACTCTGGTTCCCAAAAAGTATACTACCACAGAACCTACTGTAATTAAACTGAATTTTGTCTCTGGGATTTCCCAAAGAGCAGAATAGGAAGGATCAGGAAATTTAAAACTCTTTTTACATGCACATACAGCAGCACGTAACTACTTGCTTAGAGTCCTTCTTAGTGTCAAAATAAAGGATTCTTAAGGGGAAAAAGTAAGTTGGAAGACAGGTAGGGATGGATTACTGTTAATATTACACCCTTTCTAGGTTTCATTGACTTTTTGCAAAACTGTCTTTTTGCAAAGGTACTGAAGACCTATTTTTAAAATGGAAATATCTACTAAACTGAGAGAACTGAAGGAATGCAATAATAGTGTCTCACAGTCAGAATATTCTCTGAGTCCTGACAGTTAATCGTTGTCTTTGTAAGTGCACTTGCTGACATATTAAAGAAAGAGACACATTCAAAATACTACAGAAAGTCCAAAAAAAATGCCATTAGTACAAGCTAATTTTATTGCCACAGAATATTGTCATTCCATAAATTATTTCTTCTTAAGAAAAAGTAGGTAATAAGTGAATGCATATTTTTCAGATGGAAAAGAGAGAGGTAATTCCAATGTGTTGAATCAAAATGCATTAAGCATTTCATCTAGAAAAGCCATTCAAACAACAGATTGATCCCTTACCTGGTAATGAAAATTTTAGTTTGAAGAAAAAACTAGCATGAAAATTAATTTTTGACAAACATAATTTTACTTTAAAAGAGGGCTTCATGTTGTCATGCTATTTTTCTAGTAATGTTCTGTTTTTATTTGGCAGTACAATAAAATGGCTGGTTTGATTGGTATGAGGTATGTCTGTATAAATTCCACGACATAGGAATTGATAGCTATTTTTCTTGTAATTTACACATCTCAGACTTTTTATTTGGTAGTTGCAAATGAAAATAAAGCTTCTTAAATGAGAATCAGTACATGCAGATTCCCTAGTGACAAAGGAAATGATATACAAATGGCCCCAGTATTTGTTTCTTGAGACTCTAGCTGAAAATCCTGTTTCAAGTTTCTGTCTGAAACATTTGGAAATATTTCTAAATGCCATAAAACAGACTTTGAAATAAAGCTGGGGGAAAAATATGAAGTGCTAGAAATAGGTAGAAAATCCCTTATTATAAGGAACTCTTTCAGAAATATCTCCAAAATCTATCTGCTCTGTTGCTTTTGGAAATATCGAGCATATCTTAAAAATAGATGAAAGATACTTGTCAATGTTAAAATATTTATATGAAGTTACTTGTGTGTTAACATTTTCTACCCATTATAAGAAGGGTGAGGGTTGTTAATCCTAACAGAACAGGGACAATATAAATCATTGTTTCCCTCATCTGACATGTTAACATTCTCAAAATATTTATATATGCTTTATAAATAGGCCAGAAACTCCTTCCAAAAGGAACAACAACAAATCTTATCCCTTTTTGCAATGTTTTACATACACATTGGTTGAAATTCTATTTTTTAAAGAAATCATAGAATCTTATTGTATAATATCTCCCACCCTCACTCCCCAATCCTCCTCTCTCCCCCCTCCCATTTCACTGATTTGTCCAAGATAATTTTGGGAAAGGAACTGTAAATATTACATATAAAGTCTTTATCTTGCTAGCTTTTAAGCTTAGGCCCCCTGCCTAGCTTCAGATTAACAATTACATAGTCAGCTATTAAGATGAAGATCAGCATTCTACTGGACAAAATTAAATTCCACTGAGTCATAATTAGCAACTTAAAAAAAAAAGCTCAAGGTAGTATCTAGGAATGACTTGGAGGTTAGCCTCAGGGTTCAAAATTAGAAATAGATACATCATCTAGAGATTCCTTAAAACTGAATGAGAAAAAAACATTTTGAAAGAATAATCAATTTCCTGGGCAAAAATTACTTGGGGAGTAGGACAGGACCTTGATTTTAGATTATTTTATTTTTTTCATTTGATTAGGCTTTTTTTGTTTATTTAATCTCTTGCATGTTCAGCTCAAATCATTTCAAGAGCCATTGGTAAGCTTAGTGAAATACATGTTCTGAAGTATCATCTACCCTGAAGTATTTTGCTAAAAACATAGTTATTAGACTCTTATCCTCCATAGCATGAACTATTCCGGTGATTTGAAAGTTCCACATGCACATACTGAAATAGATTGTACTGTATTTCTCCCTGTAATTGAACATCTACTCAAATGTCCACTTAAAGATTCAATTAAATATTTTAAGAACATAGTATGTATTAGGAGACAGGGACTGGACCTCTGATTTTATTGGTATAAAAAACTCCCAGATGTGAAAATTCTCTCTATCAATGCAGGTCAGTACCTTTTCTGCAACTTTTGGTCTCGCAGGGTAGACTAAAAGCATTAAGAGGGTAAGTGATTTTCCAGTGTCACATAGCCATTATGTGTCAGAGGAGAAATTTGAACCCAGCACTTCCTTGCTCTCTACCCACTATGCTGTGCTGTCTCTTCTATATCTTCTTCTTGTTCAGTCATTCAGTTGTATCCCATTCTTTGTAACCCCATGGATCATCCATACTGTCCATGGGGTTTTCTTGGCAAAGATATTGGAGTGGTTTGCCATTTCCTTCTCCTATGCCTTACATAGCTTATATAATTCCCATTCCTGAAGTTGGTAAAAACAAATTCTCCCTTTTGAAAAGTGAAAGTGAGGGGGGGCAGCTAGGTGGCGCAATGGATAGAACTCCAGCCTTGGAGTCAGGAGGACCTGAGTTCAAATGCAGCCTCAGACACTTGATACTTACTAGCTGTGTGACCCTGGGTAAGTTACTTAACCCCATTGCCTAGCCAAAAAAAAAAAGTAGAAGTGATATGGTTTTACATTTACATTTACATTTACAATGGTTTGAGAAAAGGGATTTCTAACTGGTGATATAACATATTATACTATAGTAGATGTGAATATGAGGTTACACATTTATAGGTTACATTGTTCAGTACTATGCACCTGATTTTCTTTTACTATGCTGGGGAACTATTTCACTCTGCTATAACCTAGAAAAATCAATGTTCTCAAGTCTTTTTTAATACTACGTGTCACATTTTCACACAGGTTGCTCTTCAAACAGTTATTCATTTAGTTTGGGTTGGACTTCCCAAGAGGGAGACAGAGAAATCCCAACAGCCTGGCAGCCTTAAGC